TCTAGCCCTGTTCTCCCCAGCATTCACATCCCAGGTGGGATCCCATCACCCAGATCACCAGTGGACCAGCTCCAGATCCCAAGTCACGCTGTGCCCAGTACATCTTGCAAGGAGGCCTGGGGGGAGGGAGGGAGGAATTGCTCTGGGTGTGCTCAGAGATGCTCTCCAAGCACTGAAAAAGGAGTCCCTGCTCCCCGAGGCCGGCAGAAGTGGAAAATGCAAAGAGAAAGACGCAGCTCAACCCCAACAAGACCTGCCCCAAGGTTTGAGCTTGGTTCAGACCATCACGCAGTGTCACCCGGAGCTGCGTGGGGCTGAGGGACGTAGGGCACACAGGCTGCTCCTCCCACCTTTCTGCAGCAGCAGGGCACTGGTCTCGGGCGAGCAATTCCCCTCACTGACAAGGTACTCATGGAACTCCTTGAAGCCAATGGACTGGAAGATGCCGTGCTGGTAATCCTGCCTGGAGAACAAGACAAGAGGCAAGAGTCAAGACCACCTCCTCCAGAACAGTGGGAGACCTCAACCCTCCCCAGAACAGCTGAGGTCTCTGCGTCTCACCCTGCAGGGACCTCTCCAGGTGACACAAGCCCATGGCCTCGGGGGACAAGCCAAGCCAGGCACAGACAGGAATGCAGACCGGTGCCTTCAGTGCCACCCCACGTCACCTTTGCTGTGTGAACACTCAGGCAGCACCGAGTCACTTTCACTGAGGGGAAATGTCACCGCTTGGCACGTACGATCCAGGCAAAACTAATTCAACACTGAGACCCACAGGGACTCTGTTGTTTGACCAACCCTGGCCTAAAGGTTCTGGCAGGGAAGGTCAGGAAGTGCTGGAGGATCTGGCTGGTCCAGACCTCTCTGCTGACGGTGCCCCCGCAGAGGCAAGCACCCATCCAGTCTGCTGGCCCCGCCGCAGGAGCAGGCGCTGCCAGGAGAGGGCTAGGAACAGCGATCCGTCGGAGCTGCTGCAGGGAGAGTCGGCCCAGGCCCTGCGTGGGTCTGGGAGCAGAAAGGGAGCTGGCTTCTCACCCACCGGTTCTCAGCCACTTTCTCCTGATTGTAGCGTCGGTGGAAGTCCCGCAGCTCCTCCAGCAGTCCCGCAGCCAGCATGTCATCCACCCGCTTCTCCAGCCGCTGGTCCAGAAAAAAAGAGGCAGGACACGCTCAGCCACTCGGAGCCATGCCCTCGGGAAGCCCACCACTGGACAACGTGCCAGGATGTGCTTCGGCGCTCCCAGCCTCCCGATCCACCTAAGGAAGGCAGAGCCCAGCAGACGAGGGGAGCAAGTCCTCTGTCACGCCCACTGGTGCCAAAGGAACCGCTGCCTTGTTCAGTGAGGAGGCTGGGGCAGGAGCAGGGAGTCAGCCCTAATCCTGCATCGCATTAATCAGCCAGCCAGGAGCCCACACTTACCTTCCTGGTCTGCATGAAGCCACAAGATGCAGGAATGTGGGTATTTCAGGGGCCCACCTAAGGGCCCCCCACCTTCCTCCTCCTGCTGCTGGTGCAAGATTTCACTATGGGGGATCCCCGTCTCTTCAAACACTTGGAGGCTCCTGTGAGCAGAGACAGACAGAGCTCAGAGGCTGGGGGAGGATGAGCTTTTCCATTTCCCCAGCAGCCCTGGGGGCTCCAGCAAAGGGAACCACAGACACTCACTGCGATCCAACCCTCTCATGTCGGGGGGAGGGCAGGTTTCTGCCCCGTCCCGTGCCCGGCATCCCGAGCACGCCCAGGTCCTGGGGGTGCAACGCACTGCAGAGCACACCGATGGCACCCAAGGAGCCTAGAGCATAGCCACCCACTCCTGCCTGGCACCAGGACAAGCCCTGCAGGGGACAGGGTTCTGGCTCCAGCCC